GCGGCGTTGGGTGTGTTTTCTTCAGGACCGAGCTTCCCTCGCAGAGCAGCCAGGGGTTATTTTTCCCAGCGCCTGGAGATGGTGGCTCACCTGTGGCTCACACCGAGAAGCCACCTCCCGCTGACGTCACGTCCCCGAGCGCCAAAAAGATTCTGCGATTCCACCGGGCTTGTCTCCGCACCCCAAACCTCCGCTCCCTCCGGAAGCGGCGCCCGTTTTTCCATCCCTTTGGCTTCAACCTTTCCGCTGGGGACTGGAAATCCCCCGGTCTGGATCACACTGCGGTACAACCGGATCCCACCACGAGATCTCCAAAAACAACCGCCGCAGCCTGGGTTTTTTTCGGGATTCGGAAGACAAGGCGAGGACTCAGAGGGTGGCGGGGGGTCCTCCCGCCCCGCCGCGACCTCCAGCACCCGTGGAGGCTGCTAAGAATAGCGCCCGCCGGGGCCACAAAGGGGACCTTGTCTGGCCTCAGTGGCACTGAACGGGGTCCCTTCAAGGGGTGAGTGTCACCCCGCAGGAATTTCCCCCCGCGTCAGGGGGAAAATATGTTGCTCCGGCGGGAGCCGTGCCTTCCTTGGCACCCGTGGGTGTTCCCGGAGAGAAGGGTTTGGTGGCAGGCTACCCCCTGTGCCACCTCCTTTTGGTTGGCACTGAAGATCCTCAACCATCATCCTGCCCAGCGGGGTTTGAAACCAAAAAAAAAGTGGGTGCTTTCACGGGTTCAGCGACGGTGGGACCCATACCCGGCCCAAAATAAGTCATCCTCGAGACGGTTTCACACCCCCACCCCTCTCAACGGCCTCTGTTTTGTTTTTCCTTCTTTCAAACAAGAAGAAGACGAAAAGAAAGAAAAAAAAAAAGCGGTGCACCTATGCTTCTTGCTCTGCGGTTTGTGGTTCCAACCCAACCAAAAACAATTGGGCACAGCAACGTCTCCAAAACAGCCTTCGCCTCCCTCACGTGCCTGCCCTGCCCGAGCCCCCTGCGATGGCAAAGCTCGTCCCCGTCGCTCCCTCATTAGATCAAGCCCAACCACCTCCTCCCCAGCTCTCGCCCGGACCACTGCAGGGTTTTGCACGGATGGGAGGGTAGTGGCGGAGCTGGGATGGAAGCCTCTCCAAAAATCAAGTGTGAAGAAAGTGGGGAAGGACCAGAAAGCACCTTCCTTGGGGAGCCACGTGCTTTTGGCCGCATTTAAGAGACAGGAGAGCAGCCTGGGCCAGCTTTCCTGATGCATCTCCCTCTGGTTTTTGAGGAAGAACATGCTGGGAGAACTGGTTTCGCACCCAGCGAAGCACGAGGGAGTTCGTGAGCTTCACGTCGTCCCCCTGAAGGTGGTCGTGGAGGCTCGTTGCTCG